TATATATATATAATCCTTAATGCTAAACAGAGGCCTACAGAGCATCAGAGTCTTTGTTTGGTGAGGTCAAATTGACACCTCAAAGCCCCTGTTTAAGAATGGCACTGGCCATAGCTGCATCCTCATCCCACAAGTGGCTGCAACATGTTCTGATTTATCGGATGTGAGGAATGACACGAGAAAAAACAGACAAAACAGGGTCACTGCGCAAAACAAAAGCAAAAACCAAAAGCTTGTGTTCATATTAAAATGCCAAATACGCAATTGCAGACGCGGTTCCTCCGTCAAAGCGCACGGATGGGGTGATTGGATGTTTTACTATTGCCTCATTAGCACTCAGATGGAGAGTAGTACGAACCGCCGCCAGTGTACATAAAAAAAGGTTAACRCAGTCTACAAACTTTGTCAAAGAGTGTGAGATTAAATTTAAATGGGCTTTTGCATTGTGAGAAACTTAAAATCTAAACAATTAAGCAAACATTATTTACGCAAAACCCCCGAGAGCATTACATTCAGAGCTCCAGTCCTCAAAAAGTAAACATAAATGTTTTGAAATGAGGAAGATGAGCACTTTATTTGAACAGCTGAAGACAAATAAATGGTCACAGACTGCAGAATGAATGAAACGAGGGAACACGTTTGCGCATTTTGCTCCCTACCTTTTGTGACGAGAGAGACCGTCAGGCAGTTCACTCGGAGATTAATCCTGTGAATTCCGCTGAAAACGCYGGTTTCCTCTGAAACAATTTCGACTTGGAGCAGATCACAGGACGGCACTTGAATCGTAAGGTCCCACAGACTGTAGTATCTTCCTGTATCGCTCCGTCTGTGAGCTGCAGAGGCATCACTGAGCGGATGAAGCAGCGCTTCACACGAACGGAGAGAGGGAAAGTCCGACATGGAGTTCACTTCCGCCTGGATTCTTCCAGTCATGGCTCACACACATACAAAGACATCACTAAAAATCATGGTTGCTTAAAGGAAAAAACCTTACTTTGTGCTTAATTACAAAAGTGTGCTACATGTCAGTTGCTAATGGCTAATTACGAGCAGTTAGCATTTGCAATTTGGGCCGCTAATGGACAAACTTTGCCACGAAATGAAGATTAAACAATTTTTTTTATATATAATTTTACAAGTAGACTACCTAATATAAAAAATAGAAACTATATGACATAATGTTGCTAAAATGTTCTGTTAAAGTAAAATATACGTTTATATTTCTATAGGCTACCTTAATCATTTCCGGTCATCAGGTTTGCCTTAATTAGCTTGACCTTTTTAACAGTCAGTTTTGCGCATGCGCAAATATTTTATGTTTACATCCGGTTTGTTGAAATACACTTTTTAAAAATACACTCACCCTAAACAGTGTTAATATTTACCKGTTTCAGCTGTGTTCTGCAGCCTATTTTAAAAAATACTGCATGTTTTGCTATCACAATGTAAAAAACTAATTTCTAAGTACAATAATAAAAAAAACTGTCCTACAGGACCAACTATAGAGTTTAATGCTAACTTAGAATACCTTTTACAATTTATTTTGATTTCAAGAAATATCTCAAGACCATGACACTTGTTGTTCCATAATCCACAACAACTAATTACAAATTTAGAGTACAAGAATAAAAAAAATTAAATGGAAGAGGGCTCATTTCACAGCAGACATTTTAACTTGAAAGAAAATAGATTATTAGGGGTCTATGCTTCAGTTTCGTAACTTAATGCAAAAGCATACTAGCCAAACTTCTACATGAAGTGCTTTTTAATGCAACTTCTTTTTATTTTATCCCCCAAATGCAATCTTTCAAAAACTTACGGTCCCTAATGAACCGCAAACATTTTGCACACTTTTGGCTCATTTGTGTCTTCTCTTACATAMATTCTACTTTSCTGCATTTTTAGACRTTTTGAAATGMGTTTCTGTGGGGAGCTTWTGTAATTTAATAACACAGTGTTATTGAATCCATTACACAGAGTTCAAGTGAACACTGCAAAGGTCTGGACTGGTCATTTTTATAGCAAAAGAGTCAATTTGAAACAGAATAATACAAGGCCTAAGGATCTAATAGAGCTGGGATTGTGGTTAAATGAATTTGTCACCTCATGTCTCCACATACAAAAAACATCAAATATAAATAATGAGTGTTAATGTTGTTTTTYTTTTATCTTAGCTCACATACAATGTCTGCTGCATTCAGAAAAGGCAGTTAGGCACAGCACTTTCTGTTTGTTGAACAGCGATACTGTTGAATGACTAGGGGCTGTCCTGCTGGGAAAACYCAGGAACCAACAAAGTAGCCCAGGCACTGCTTTTTGCCTGCCAGGCAGCCTGGATCTTATAACAAGGCTGCACACTTCAGTGCCTTAACCCTGGCAACAGCAGCAGCAGCAATGGCACCAAAGCCCGAACTTGCTGGAGACTTTGTCTGTCAGAGCAAACTTTGAGGGATTGAGGTTTAACTAAACTAATTATGAAGTGCATGCATAATATCATAATGGGCTGTGGGTTGAACATGACACCGCAAAAGAACACATTTGATTTTAGACATTATTTAAACTATTTACCAGACCTCCAAGCTTTTTCTTTATTTACATCAACAGGCTATCAACAGTTTTATTGACTGCAGTCAGTCAATTATCTCTGAAAGTGCTGGTAGAATCAATATTTTCTTGGTGATTCTGCAAACGACTGAGAGAGAAAAGAAAAAAAAATACGTAGGCCTAAAACAAAAGAGGGCACACGGGGTTAGATTGRTTGCATGTGTCGTTGGAGCAGCATTTTTAAATTAATTCAGCTGGAATATATTTGTGTAATTCATAATTAATATCACACTGTGCTAATTTCAGCTATCAAATTTGGTGCAATTTCACTCCCCATGACTGTAATTGTCAGTGTAACAATTTATTCCCACTGAATCACAGTGTGAGCACTAATTTTGTCTTGGAGGAGAAATTTCCCCGTAAAACCCCCACCCAAAACAAACAAATAAATAAATAAACAAATAAATAAAATAAAGAATGACTTCAGTAAATCACTGTGAGCTTTTTTTTTGAGAAGTACTGCAATGTTCTGGCTTAAGCACAGAGATGTTGCAGAGTGTTTGGAAAGCTTTCAAGACTGTGTGTGGCRTCTTTAAGGGAACTTGTGTTGGTGCAGAGAATCCCTCGGTGGGGGGGGGGGTGCATGAGTGATTTGATTTGTGCCACAGCATCTTGTAAGTGTAGCACGGCAGCAGTACACCTTTGAGTGTGTTTCGTGTGATTTGACCCCGCAAGACTGTAAAATGCACAAATGCATCACAGGAAATCCAATAAGTTTTTGGCCTCGTTTATAAAGGATTGTAATATTTAAAAACTAACCAATAAAAGGCCTTTTAAATTCCTTAAAGGAATGTGTATCACCTGCCATCTTTCATGCAAGAGTTTTGGATCATCTTGTAAAAAGATGCAGTTATTGCCATTTTGGTCAAACCTTGAAAACATTATTAACAATCCCAAGCAATTTTTTTGTGTGATTTTACATTAGCTGTTAGCGCTTGACTGTCAGCTACCACACCGAAGCTCAGCTCAATATCTGTAAAATTGACTTAACTATAGCAGGTTTAGTGATAAGGTCTACTGTGGCCATCTTGAATTGGATTGACTTCAGAAGTTAATCACTTGTAGATGTCAACTCAGTGATTACTTTGTGAAAGTTTATGGAAAATCTGTTCAGTGGTTCAAGAAAATTTTGCTAACAGAAGAGACAAAACAAACTCACAGAGCAAAAACATTATTGCTCTTTCACCTTCAGAAGTTGGTGATTATTAGTAATTGATTAGAAATGAAACATATTTTTTCATTCACTGGAACTGTTATGTTTTTTTTTCTTCTTTGGTTTTTACACAACTGTAGTGGAATCCAGCGCAGGTTTTACCTTTTTCTTTGGCTCAGCATGCAACAGCCAGCTATTTATCAATAATTCATACCAAAGGAGGTTTGCAAATAAATGAAAAATGACAGAAAGTGCAAGGTAACTGATGAATCACCTTTGAATCACCAATTCTTCACAGTTTTGTCAGTTTTTTTATCATTATTATTATTGCAACACATATCAACAGTTTGTCAGAACATCAGGTCTCAAATCATGACTCCTCAGAAAACATTCAATAGCTGCGAGTTTCATTTAACGCACAACACATAACCCAGTGTGGTTTCACTAATATCAACAGAGCAATCATATGGCTTTCAATCAWTATTCTATTTACAGTATTAATTATTCAAATAACTGCTGTTGGCAGATGAAACGCAAGCCACATTGCTGTTAAATATTTAAAATGTTACAATAATAAATGCTCTGCAGATGCTGTCATTGCAAAGAGGTCCTAATAAAAGTGTAAATTTTAATGAATGTGTCTGTAAATCAGACCAAAACAAGCAAAAGACGCTAAAGACAGCTTTACTTGCACTGATGAATATTACACGGGAGAATAATAAAAGTTATTTATATTTCRTAACACTTGGATTTAACACAAAATCAAAGTCGTATTTGTAACTGTGGACAGATTGAACCTTTTTTACCTCCCGATCTATTGCTCTTCTGCCGCTCACAATTTWTTTCTTTCCTTCAGCTGCTCTTTGAAGACCATTTTCAGACTGGAGAGGTTAACAGATCTCAGCTCTGAGGAATGGGATATATATATATATATA